CTTCCAGATGGCTCGCAGAAGACGGCCGTTTCCCAGCGCCTGGTCGCAGCGGATGGAAACCGCTCGAAGGTTCGGCGCTTGTGCCAGGAGCACGTGGCAGACTTCAGCGCCGATGCGATGCGGATCCCTGGGGCTTCCAACTGCGCTTCATGAACTCCAAGGGCGTTCCTGGACAAACTGAGGTCAGCACAGACACTCACTTTGTCCTGGGTGACAAAGGCTATGTTTGCCTGCAGCCTAACGGTGAGTGGAGCATATCCCTCCGGGTTTTACCAGAATCTGATGAGGAGTTTCTCACGAGCATGGAAGCGACGGATGGCAACGTGCAGAAACTGAAGGAGTACGTTCAGACCCATGCCAAGTTCACGGCCGACAACTTGCTGGATGAGGAGGCTGCAGCCTGAGCTTCAGGTCGCCTGTCCCGGGCGATGGCCCGCGAACAGACGGATTTTGCACAAAGCCTCTACCTAGGCCACTTTCAACAGTTCGGAATGCAAGATAAGGCTTATCGCAAGTTCTATGACTGCCCACCCTTCAGCGGCGTCGTTGTCAAGTGCTCTTCCCTGAATCCAGCAGGCGACAGTTGCATTTCAGGGTGTTGTCACATGGGTCACACGAGTTTCGGATTGCCCGTATCAGAGCACACCATCTTACCATGTAACCATATAGTACGAGCGCAACAATGTGGCCGAACATAACTTCGACGGGATCCCTGCTCGGCTCGATACCCATCTAAGAGTGCAGTCAGCTGCGACCTCCCGAAGACCCGAAAGCGCACATCCGGAAGCTTCCCAAAGTTCCCGGGAGCTTCCGGACGGCAGGCTGGATCTACCTCATTGGGGATGCCGCACATGCTGTGCAGCCAGCTACGGGGGAAGGCCCATCGCCTTGGCAAGGAATTCGGGGCGTGGAATACCGTGGTCTTGGGTGGCTCTCGAGATGCATCTCGAAGAAGGATCGCAACCATATGAAACAAGACCGTCTATGTTACTACTCCACTACCTCTACCTTTCCCCGACGACGACCCCAACAACAGCAACGACAGCCACCACAATGACCACAGCGACTGCTGCTGGCACTGCGGCGGCGGCGGCGGCTGCTGCTGCTGCTGCTGCTGCTGCTGCTTGTGCTGCTTCTACTGCTGCTGATACTGCCACTGCGACGACTACTACTGCTTCTTCTGCTATTACATCTACGACCCTGCAGCCGAACATCAACACTCGTGATACTGCAGTAAAACCGACGGGCATGCTCATCATTCATAACCATCAGCAGCAGCATCAGCGCAGCAGCATCAGGACGATCGCCATCCTCAAAATCAACATCAGCATCACCACCGTCGGAACGCATGAACAGACAAGAAAAAACAGCATTGTTCTCAATATGATAATCATGGCGGTCACATTCCCCGGGTCAAAGGGGAACCGTGCCAAGACCAAGCCATCTACTTTCTGTCGATCCCATGCCAGGCATCAACAGCGGCTTGGAGGATGCCGCTGTGCTTGGTGTCGTTCTGAAGGCCGGAACCAGGGATGGTGGGCGGGGACTCGCTTGAGGGTTCGGGATTTGGGACAAGCATGGCTGTGCAGCCACATGATGCACAGCTTACAAAGACAGTACTCATCCATTCCTGAAGCGAGGTTGGATGGTTTCAAAGGCCTAGGCGGATAGAAGTTGCATGGCTCATGAACCCAAGCTCGTAGTCGCTTGTATCCTCCAAGTGCTTCGAGGAGAACGCAGACGATCCATTTGCAGCGTTTGACTGTCAGCAGCGGCCGAACGCTCACGCACTTCAGAAACTGGCATTGGAGGCCATGACCAAGCTACCTTAGGTGGCTAGGACTAGGAGGGCTTGGGCCATCCTCTGGGGCAAAGTGGCCTCATTTGCTCTCCCTGTGCTCGAGGCCCGGAGCCGAGTGAGTCTGCCTCCTCCCCGAGAGCAAGCCGTGAATGTCATGGTGACCATTGGCTTAGCCATGGCCAAGAAGCTCCGCATCATCGAAGGCAGCACTGTCATGTTGAGGTTGCCTCCGTGTTGGCGCTGCTTCGGGCACGTTGCAGAAAGAAGACTTATTTTTGGTCTAAGTAGGGCCAAACGAGAGCCACAGTTTGAGAAAAAGGCCCTTCTCTCGTGAGCCTGACTGCAAGACAAGCACCTGAGGCTGACCTGAGGCTTTAAATTCAAGTGTTATGCCCGCCCGCCTGGAAGTTGATGAAGTCATCAATCTCCCGACTGCTCAGATGTGTGCCTGTGTATTCTGCCATGCCCCTTGTCGCCATACGTGAGGGGAAGTCGCAGCTGCTCATGTAGGACTATTTAAAAAGACACATGGTGCAGAAGAGACTAGATTGGTGTCGCAGCGTTGAGATGCCCTCTTGGGTTCCTGCAGCTACTTGTAGCAGCTCGCACTGGCAACTAAGCTAAGTGCAGCAATACTACATGATTTGAACTTGAGTCGCAGGTGTAGGTTTGTGCTTAAGTCCTGTAAGACGACAGGGGCGGCCCAGAAAACAAGATACTAAGATATGCATTGTCTAGGGATTGCTTTGGGAACAATATTGTTGACCATGGCCGCTCGCAAGCCCGCCAAGCATATCAGCTTGCACGAGGACGAGGTAAGCATCCCCTGGAATGTATGCCCGCTGCACAAGGGCTGCAAAGCCGTGCGGAAAAGGTAGCTGAAAGGGTAGCACGCAGCAGTGTTGGAGCCAGTGTGGGGGAGGCTAAACAAAAAACTGCATGCCCGTCGCTCTCACTCTAACTGACCAACTGTCACCTTCACTCTCACCCTCACCCTCTCTCTCTGTCTCTCTCCCTTTCTCTCGCACAGGTCCGAGCCTGAGGTTCTGCAGTTGTGCCCCAATGGGAAGTATGAGTAGCAATAGCTAGCTATAGAATTATCTGCTTTAACTTGGCTTTTTCAGATTTCATGTTGCTCTTCTGATGATTTTGTAGCTTTGTATTTACTTCCCAGCAGCTTTATTTGGCTTTGATGAGCTTTTTTCCCCGTTTCCAAAGCAATGGTCCCAGCATGTCTAAGGGAATCAGCATGACAACAATAAAGGCCGAGTGAGTTTGCAGGTTGCTGAGTACACGAGGCATTCTGATCATCGCAGCAGCCACTATCACTGAGCCTGTGCCAGGCACCAAGCAGGACTTCATGCTTGGAGAAAAAGCCCAGTCTGTGGGACACCCGGCAGCATCATATACCCACTTCATAAAAGGCACGAATCTTTTGAGGTCACTGCATGTGCTAGCGCTCCTGGCACACCTTCCAGGAATCAAGTCCTACGATGAGCTCGTGCAAATCGACGAGCGGCAGACGCGAAAGCTTCGACCTCTTGCGAATGCCCTGGCGAAAATTTTCCGAGTGCCAAAGGAGCACCCACCAGCCCAGACACAGAGCTAAGCAGCACCAGACGGGACTGCTGACATTGTGGACAGTGTACTGACGCCTCAGCCAAGCTGATTCGTGCATGGCTATAAGTTTTCAGCTCAAATTCGAAATTTTTGCGGTGGCTTGATGTGGCATAAAGCCGAAGAACATCAAGCCCGTTCCATCGTACAGTCCGGAACACCCAGTTGAACCACGGCCAGCTCCGACACCGAAGTGGCTTCGCGGGCGATGGCCCCGACTTGCCCGTTTACTGCGTCTGCTACAGTTTGGCGGGGACACCACTCTGGCTGCTTGGGCCGCTTGTGTGGTGAATGAAACAGAGGAGTGTGATGAATTGCGTTTCCCACCGAACAGGATTCCTCCAGGTGGATGTCTTTAGATTTCGAGCGCTGGGGCATTTGAGAGCAACATGTCATTTGTTCATCTTACCTGCGGTCCCACTTGGTTTGATCGAGGCGGTGTTGCCCGTATGGAAAGACGTCACATCAAAGTCTCAGGTTGTCGGGACCCCACTGCTGCCCTTCTGCCAGCACCTAACAAAGCTGTAAGGGTATTCCAGCCGCGAATACGGGGAGGAATACTGCTCTGTCACTGAAGAGGAGGAAGTGTGGTTTGTCATTGTTGCGGTTTGCCAGTTGAAATTTCCTGCACTGACTTTGCGTTCACCATGCAGGGCCCTGACATGCTTTGGCAGCTCATTTTGTAGGCATCCATCCATGAACATGGAGTATTCGAACGGGATGACCTTTGGCTTTCTTTCCAGACTGCAGACACAGCCAGGATAGCGCAACGGTTGCGGACTCTCCGAGCGCGCGGTCCTCGAATCGTGGCATCTCTCTGTCGTTTGTCGCTTGCATGTGCAGCTGCTGTGTGGAAGTTGTATGCATTAAGTCTTGCAGGATGGCTGCTTCCAGCACTAAAACATACTAGAGGCATGGAAATGAAGCGCTTTGCATCAAAGCATGCAGTCTTCGTGCGACATGATTCTGTTTGCACTTCCATCGATCCCTGGTAGACCTAGAGGCACCAAAGCACCACTTGGGTCCGCTTATGAGATTGCGATTCAGATTGACTCAGACTGGCCATGTTAATCTTTGGCTCATCCCTTCTCGTCCCAATCGTTCAAGGGTTTCCTGCACCAGGTCTTCATGACGCAGGAATTGCCCGATGATGTCATGATCTTGCAGACGGAGGAGTGTTCTAGGCTTAGGCTTGGAGTTTCGGGGTCCAGAGGGTTTGAGGATGTCTTCTTGCGTCTTCTGGCAGCCTCTGAGCGCCCAACCCGGCCATCGGAGGAGATCATTTCTGCTGCAGCCACCAGTTCCACCATGCCGACCAGCATGGGAGAAGGCCGAGAGGCCTCCCAGCTTTTGATGAGTTTACATCAGTCTCCGAAGTATCGTCCCGACTCATCACGAATTCATTTGGGTGTGTGTCTGCACCAAGCAAGTCTGTCATTAGGGCAACGGACAGAACATAACATTGCCTGAGGCCACACCTAAGCCTCATGGAGATACGAGCATCAGCGGTTCCTTACGCTTGGATTGCGGTCCTCTGCAGTTCCGCATGCCCTCACAACACCAGATCTCCGTCGGCACCAGGCGATGCAGGCGGACCCTAGGGCTCCACCGGCGCCCCCTGGCGCAATTCATGAGACCGCGACCTCTGCTGCGGAGGCCGAGTCGGGAACGATTTGGGGGGGTCAGCATAAACTACAGACTTTCTGCTTGGCATTCGTAATTCACATTTGAGCAGGAACAGATCGTGTGAGTATGCCTGACTGGAGGAAGGTTGTTGCTTTTAGAATTCAGGCAGGGCGGACAAGGACACGAGTTTGCGCGGGGATAGGAAAACAGCACATCCCGTTGTGGAGTTTCCGATGTGAACCTTGGTTTTGCAGATACGTCGTCGGCTTAGGCCGGGGGAGGACAATCGCTCAGTGCCCTCTCAGTTCTGCTGGGTGCCTGTAGTCTCTGTGTATAGAATCTTGCTGGATGGGCCCGTGACATTTTGTTCGGGTAGTATAGGATGTGTCAGACAGATAGAGGGCAATGCTTGGGAGCTCGTGCAGATGGATGGGCGTTTAGTGCTATGAAACGTCGCCATGTCACTGGCACATGGATAGCCAGCTCTTGTCTTGTCTGAAACTTGCCTCTACCAAGCTGGAGGGCACCCGAAACATTTTGAGACATCGGGTGCAGTGGCGCCCGCGGCCTGCAGGAAGTCGGACGATTGGGTCCACAGCTTAGCAGTGCAGCTTTGCCATGTGTATCTGCGTGTCGAAACTCGTGATTAAGTTAAGGAGTAATTCTGCGTTAAGCTTCTACTTTTCGGAATCAAAAGGTTTTGAGACTTGGTGTGGGCTGCCAGCAACAGCTGAACGACAACTTCTCAACCATCTGCAAATGCAGACTGTGCTGGAAAAGGTAAGACTAGCCCTGGGACCAACGGGCCCTTGCAGACTGAAGGTTCTTGGCATTTCTTTGTGCACAGGGTCCTGCGTGTATTTGGGGTTAGTGTAAGTTAGCCACTTTGATTTAAGCTGATTGGCGACAGAGGTCATGGCTGCTGTGCACGGATCAGTCAGCGTGAATGTATATATGTTTATATATATATACACACACAGATATACATATATATATATATGTCTCC